TTCCACACACCTGAGAGAGCGTGAACTTCCCAGAAAATTGCTTCATGTTGCTCTCAACAGATATACCCCAGGTGGATAACTTTAACAATCAGCAGCTACTTATTTGCTCATGGAAAATTCCACCATGGAGTTTACAAAGACTATGGCTAGAAAAGTCATACTATGTAATTTACTATACTGCAGTAGCTAATGAAATTCAAGGGAATATAAGTACACAAACCATTTATACCTTATAATGAATTGATCAGTTTTTTTTTTTTTTTTTTTTTTGCTAAAATGCAGGAAGTGAGAAATTTACATTTTCCTGAGAAGTGAGAAGAGAGAGATGAGAGACAATGTAAAGACATAGGGACATTTTCCCTACAATGTATTTTGTACAACATTCATTGATGTTTCATATACTGAACCAGACCCTTGTGTCTTAGGGTAGGTAGAATTTCTACTCTTTATAAAGATTAACTAGCTATTTTGTGGCTATTTGACTGAGAGCCATCTCAGCATATTAGGGGGAATGCTTTAAGTTCTAAATCTAAATTTTGGTGAGGCTCCTGGAGAAATCAGCCTTATGGACAGTTATATGCAACTAATTTGATGTTGTTGTTGTGTGCCATTAAGTTGATACAGATTCATAGCTCCTCTGTAGGACAGAGTAGAACTGCCCCAGAGGGTTTCCTAGGCTGAAATTTTTATGGGAGCAGATCACCAAGTCTTTTCTGTCACTGAGTGGCTGGTGGGTTTGAACCGCTGACCTTTAGGTTAACAGCTGAGTGTTAAACCACTGTGCACCCAGAGCTCCTTAACTAATTTAATAGTCACCAACAAAAATTCATGATGAGAACCAGTAGATAATGAATGGCTTGTTGTTTTTAGTTGCCATGGATTTGATTCCAGCTTATGGTGATCCCAGGTGTGCAGAGCAGAACTGTGCTCTATAAACTTTACAATGGCTGTTACCTTTTGGAAGCAGATCACCACATCTGTCTTTTGAGGTATCTTGGGTCAGTTCTCTCTACTAGTAGTCAAGTGCTTAACCATTTGTAACACCCAAGGATTTTTTAAAAATGTTTTATTGGACAAGTATTGTGATCCTTTGAAATGTCAGCTGTGACCCCTTGAGTCTCATTCATTTCTCCATTTTAGACTATCAACAAAATTCTGCTGTTCTTCCAGCCACAAATATCGATGTATTGCAAGGGTCACAAGACAATGAATCATTTTTGTCTGAGGTTCATCCAGATCTTTGCTGCTTTCACACTTTCCCTTGTGCCTGAACTTTTGATCATTTTACTTCTCTAAGGCCCTCCACACAGTACAAAATGAGGAAGGGAAAGCTGGTATTAACACTCAACCTGGTAAATTTCTCTCCCAATAGCTTCTGTAGTAAATTTTTAAGAGGAGGTGTTGTTGTTGTTAGCTATCATCCAACAGGCCCTGACTCATGGCAACGCCTTGCACAAGAGAAGAAAATGCTGTCTGGTCCTGCACCATGCCCATAATCAATTGTGGATCAGACCATTGTGATCCATAAGGCTTTCATTAGCTGGTTTTTCAAAAGCATCTCACCTTTTGAAAAACCAGCCAATGAAGGGAATGCTTTTGTAACTGTAGTCTGGAAGTTCTGCTGAAACTTGTTCAGCATCATAGAAATACACAAGCCTCCACTGAGGCTGGAGAGATAGGGATGTTTTTATTTCTAATTTGCATAATTATTATGGTAATATGAGCTTATCCTCCTAAAAGGGATTCATGAGCAGACAGACAGACACATATATGAACAGTGGCCAGCAGGAAGCCTCAAGGACAGTAGAGACATGTAATGGTTTTCTAATAGTCATGTTTCTTTCCAATGAAATGTTGCCAAAGAATATACTAATGAGAGTCAAATGATTACATAAAGAATCATTTTGAGTTTTCAATATAAAATATTCAACCCACTTCTAGGGGGGTTCATTTCTTTTTTGAAAAATTACTGTTAGGATTTCCAACATACTTTTTTCCCATCATTCAATGTGTACAACCCATGCTGGTCTTTGTGAGCCCAAACAGGTGTCACATTTACAATTTGCAAGCTAATATCAGAAGTAGTGCTAGCAACAGATCATCTGAAAGAGCTGGCAATATTTATATAAGTTAATAATATTTTTCAGCATATTTTGTCCTGCCCCCACACTTCCTTGAATTAGAAACTTTCTTTTTAGTAAGTCTGACAAAATAGTAACAATCCTCTAAGTTCCTTTTCAAATAGAAACAAACTTTTGCATTACAATGGATGATAGAATGTATTGCTCCAACCTCTCATCATCTTTGACCTACAATCTTAGTCTTTGTAAGAAATAGCAGAAGAGTCTGAGAGGGAACTAAGAAGATGGGAGGCTGGAAGTAAATACTTCCTCCTGTATTTATAACTTTTCAGAAGTGTCCATCAGCTGAAACGTGGGTCCCCTAGAAACACTTGAGCAATGCAGAGGAGGAGAGTGGGTAGCTGTTATTAATTTTTTAAGCCCAGCTGACAGCTTTCAGAACAAGGCCTAACTTTGCATTTTGAATAATGCAGAGATTTTCATTAGTTAGAATAGGAATCAAAATGATAAATGATATATTGCCTGCCAAAATACCGTGTCATTACATTACCTTTTGCAGTTACCGTTCCAAATAAGCATTCCAGGGTATACTTAATGTGAATTGGAAAGCTACCAGTATTGTTTTATTATTTTATGTTTAAATATTGGAAAAACAATCCAAAGGATGTGTGTTCCTGACTGTGAGTTAGTAATGTCATATTCAAAGGGCAATTCATTATTGCCCCTAAAAGCTAAATGTTGGCACGAAACGTGCTGGCCTGTGAGATCATTGCAATTGATTCCAGACATTTTTTCTTGCTCATCTCAGCCTTCTGAAGGTTCTGGGACAATTTAATTACAACTGCACTTTTGATTTCCACTTCTTTCAATAAAAAAAGTGTAAAATTACTCTTGCTCAAGAACTATCAGACTAAAAGGTTTCTGATTGCTTTTTACTGTCATCTCTCTTTAAGCAGATTATCATTTCCTGGGCCTATTTGCCTTGTTTTAAGTACCCATACTCTTTCCAACTGTAAATATTATTTGAATTGATGGCTACACAACTACTATATTCAGATATCTCTCAATAATTTAATGTATGGCCCTAATCAAAAGCACTAGAATTAAACCAATATAGAACAGGTTGCTAGCAGCTGTTTCTATGCCAGTTTGGTGGCCATTAAAATAGCTGATTCAGAGATTTCTATAGAGAAACTTAAGTTAATTAAAGACATCAAAGTCAATGGAACTACAGTATCTGCCAGCAGCAATACAATCCACATACACTGGCAGTAAAAGAATGCTGATGGAAGATCTAAATGTGCTTACCTAAATTTGATGAACTGTTTTATTTTGCATGTCATTTTGCATTTTGTTCAAAATCATAAACCTCAAGGAAAAGTCCTTACTTATTCTATTAAGTAACGATTTATTGATTAATCAGTCTTTTCTCACACAATATGGTAGGAATGAGTACTGGCATTTATTAAGATCCTCCAACCAGTTAAATAAAAAGAGTAAAGGACAAAAGGGGATTTTTTGGGTACCCTTCAAAAGTACTTTATAAAGGGATTCAACTAGAATTTATCAATGTATCAATCTTTTGAAGTATTGACTCAGACCACGATCCAATGATTTTTGTTAGGTCCCAATTCCAATTAAAATCGTTCATTCTCAACAAATTGTGTTTTGTGTCCTGGCTGTGAGTAGAAAGCATGCTGCTTCCTTTCTGTTTATTGGCTTTGTTAGATTGTGGAACTACTAATGGAACTCCTGAAATATATTTCTATTTTATTTAAGTTACCTCATAGTGGAAATTACTGTAATTGTAATTTCACTTTTGAAATGTCAGAAACTTTCTGACTCATCTAAAATTTTAAAAAATAGCCCTACATAAGCATAAAATATATGATGCAATTTGTTGAATGTTAAATCTTTGAGTCCAAGATTTCTTCCATTTAGTCAAATACACCAGGAGGAGATCCCATTGTGAACTAGATTCCAGTTCAAACATCACATACTACATGTATTTGATGGGAAGCATTCATTCATCAGGCCCTTGTGGAGATGTGTTCTAGAAAGTAGTTATAATGGCTAGCTAGACACTTATCCTCATTTTATTATAGTCACTTTACAACTCTGAAGGCAATTGCAATAATACAACTAAATCTCTAGTTTTGTTACATGTGTGGGTGGGTTTAATTTATCTAAACTCTCTTTCTAAAAAATAAATTAAAATTTCTTGGTGCTCTATGAACTCACAACAGAGTTGTTTAAAACCAAATTTTTACACATTAGCAAGTGCTCAATAAATAACAGTTGTTAAATCATGTTGCTAAACCTCTATCCACATAACTTCAGGTCATATTATCTTTTATTCTGATGTTCTGATAAAACACAATTTAGCTTCTTAGCATCTTATTCATTCCTTCTCAGCAACTCTTGTCTTTTTTTTTTTTCTTTTTACATCCCACCTTGAAGGCTGTCTTTCTTAGATCCCTTGTAACATTTTATATGGCTTATATACACAAAGTTCTTGCTGTAATGTATTGTTGTATTAGTATTATTGCCATTATTCAGGCTTCAAAATTCTGAAGCCAGCTTACTTACAACCAGTGATGGATAAACCAACCCTCAGTTTCCTACCCAGTGTAACGTTTAGGTCTCTGATGACAAATTACAAGGACAGGACATGATACCAGTCTGAGGCTTCTGTGCCTCTCTGTGAATCTGCCCATGCAACTTGGATTGAAGTTATAATACTTAGTGCCCTCTCATTTGTGGGCACCTTCATATGTCAGCTTTTGATTGGAAGTTTGCTCTACTGACTTCAGTCATTTAAAATTTCAAACATGAAAGCTTTCATAGCCTTGTAATAACTAGTTTAGGAAGCTAAGTCTCATCCAAAACAAATCCACAGGTAGATATAACAGTACTTACAGGTGTCCTCTTCTTCCATGAAAATACTGATCACATAACAGGCATACACAAAACCAACCAACTGCAAAAAGAAAAAAAAAAGAAAAAAAAGTACTTTAAGAGCTATAGCAAATGTCAACAATTAAAGAGTCAAACTGATCTATAAAGATAACTAATGCATAGTAGTAATTTCCAAGAGGAAAAATTCTTGTTTTTAAGTAATAGGTGTCATGTTAAAGAGTCTTTTCATTTCTCATACCTTTAATATCTTTCTTAAAATTACACAACAATGGGGAAAAGAAAAACAAATTAGGGTACAGGAATGGGAAAAAATACATAAGTTTCTAGATATTTTACTTAGATTTTGACTGGGCTTTGCAGATCTTAAGGAGCTCTCGTGGTGTAGTGCCTAAGGCTTTTGACTGCTAACCAGAAGGCTGGCAGTTCAAACCCATCCAGCTACTCCTTGGAAGGAAGACTGGGCAATCTACTTCTGTGGAGATACCACTTGTAAACCCAAGGATAATTTTAAATCACCAAAGATTATTCAGAATATATATTTTTAGGTTTATGACTATTTGTAGAGTGAATTGTACAAAAATTCATTATTACTCCAACTATTTTAATGTTTAATAGCTACAAAAGGTATCAAAACATGTTAATTATAAGTTAAATACCAATTAATTTAATACTTATAAATTGAACACTTAATTATTTAAAATGTTCTTGAATGTAATTTCTATTTAAATACTAAATATTTTTGTTAATTATGTCATAAGAAAATGCATTAACTTTCAGGTCATTATATAGTCATAAAATAAAAGAGATCATTTATACTTTGGATACAAGTTGTCAAAAGAATGAAGGCAGGTGCCAGAGTACAGGCTTTCCAGATTTTCATTTTTTTTTCCTGCACTTGTTATACTGAGAAGATGATTTCAGTTCCATGGAAGTAGACATACTTCAATTCCTGGAGATTAAATTGCCAATGGATTTAGTCGAGTCAAAAATTACTCTGATAAGTACTTTGATAGACATGAAAAATAGATACTTCAATAGATATTATATTCTGTTTTCTTGCTTTTCCTTCCACTGTTAAAGTCTGTTTCCTCCTCTCAACCCACTGATAAATAACATTTGGAAAAGAAATTTTTTCTGATAGCCCCAGTGTCAGAAGCTGAAGTTCCCAGTGCAGAGATTAATATGTTTTTTGTTTCTGACAATTCCTGAAGATTGTTACCGTGAGCTTTCAGTCCACTTTAAGGCTGTCTACACCAACTCTAAGAAATCCCTGTGAGGTTGGGAAGTTAGGGAGTGCGAATGTCCAATAGAGAGTGTTGCCAGAGTGTTAAAGGGTCCTACAAGACCTATGGTACCTTCAGTCCTCTGAAGCTACATGAGGGGAGAACCACTGGGGGAGCTTGAGATGTTTCTTGTAATTTGGGAAACACAGGGGCTTGAGTCACATTTGGAAAAGTCAAAAGATGAAGTACTGAATATAGAACAAGTTGGCAGCGTAAGCCCCACAGAAAAGCAACAACAACAACAAAACCCAAACACGAACTAGCAGAATCAACAACATCAGAACTTTGGAAACTAAGTTTTAAGAAACAAATGCTGAGCTAATGATAAATCAAGGGAAAAGGTGACAAATAAATGGTGCAAAAACTTGGGTTTTCTATCCACCAGCACCCCAACCTTTCTCTGCTTTCTTGTGGTCATCTTAAAGCCTGATTTCCTAGATGAAGCACAGCAGACTGTTTCCCCAAATCATTGTGTGTTTCTACTCTGGGGCTACTGGAAGGACTGAAGTAAGTCACTCATCTCAATATTTCTGGTTTCAGACTTTGCATAGGCCTACGGGGTAGCGGAGGAGCTCTGGTAGCATAGTGGCTAAAGAACTTAACTGCTAACCAGAAGGCTGGCGGTTCAAACCAGATGGTAATAGAGGATAGGGAAAGAGTTTCTTTTGGAAACCAAGATTTTGAAATCTTTGTGTATTGATAGCATAGTGCCTAAGGCACTTGACTGCTAACCAGAAGGCTGGTGAACCCACCAGTCACTCCTCGGAAGGAAGGTTGGGCAATCTACTTCCATAGTGATACTGCCTCGGAAGCCCAAGAAGGGGTCGCTATGAGTTGGTCCGACTCGACGGCACATAACAGCAACAACAACAACACACATGCCCAGGGCAAGCCACATGCTCAGAAATTACCTGACCAGACTCTATGCTTTCCCCTTGGGATGATTCTCACCTCAGGGTAAGCCTGGCTGACCGTTGAAGGAGGGTTCCAGCACAGAGTCAATTGCAAAGACTGAGAGACTTTTTAAAAATGTTTTTTTATAGTGTTTTGCTTTACCCCATGGCATCCAAGGAAATCTCTCTCAAAAGACTAGCTAAACACAGGCTAATAAACAGTGTCTTCTTCACTGTCACACCTAGCCAGGAAGTCAGTCTTTCCAAAATAGTTAGGAAAAAAGTTATGAAAACATCTTAGTCATAACCAAACACCATGAGAGAATGAGTTGCTGGGTATGGTGGATACTAAATTCAATTGGTAAACCATAGTCCACAGAGACAATATTCTAATCCTAATTTGGTGAGTAGTACTGATATCTTAAAAGCTTGTGAGTGGTCATCTAAGTTGCAACTATTGGTCTCTTCCCATCTGGAGCAAAGAAGAGTGAGGAAAAATCAGATTCAGGAAATAATTAGTCCAAAGGACTAATGGAGCATGTGAACCCCAGCCTCCATGACATTGAAACCTGAGTAATTAGATGGTGTCTGGCTACCACTGTTGACCACTCTGAAAGGGATCACAATAAGAGGTATGAATAGAGAGGGAGAAAATGTGAAAGAAAACTCAAAATATAAAAATGACCAGGCTTACTGATCTGATGAAGACTGGTGGAATACCTGAGACTATGGCCCTTAGACTCACTTCAAGCTCCGAACTGAACTTAATGCCTGTGACTCAACTGTCAGCCAAATGATAGATAGACCTATAAGGTAAACAGTAATATCAGGAGGGTATGTACTCATTAGAACAATTAAGCATACGAGATCAAGAGGACAGCATTTGTCTAGGGACAGAGCTAGGAAGGAACTCTGGTAGTGCAGGGCAGAAGGCAATTAACTGCTAACCATAAGGTTGGTGGTTCAAACTCACCAGCCACTCCATGGAAGGAAGATGAGGCAATCTACTTCTGTAAAGATTTACAGCCTCAGAAACCCAATGTGGTTCACTATGAGTCAGAATCAACTTGATGTGAGGTTGGTGTTTTGGTTTAGAGCTAAGAATGTGGGAAGGGGTGGGAAGGAAAGATGAAAGGAAAGGGTAGGTGTAGGGAGCAAGTGGGAAGAATGCTGTTACTGTATGGGGTTTGAAGGAAATGTCACAAAACAGAATGTGTGTGTATTGTTAAATGGAAAATCAATTTGCTCTATAAACTTTCACCCAAATCACAATTTAAAAAAAAAAAAAAAAAAAAAAAGCTAAAATCACTAAACAAATGGATGGCTTCATTTTTCAAAAATATTGAAAAAGAAATCAACTAAGAAAATAAACAACCAAATAACTTTAGCAAAACCTCGGGAAGAAGAATTTGATCTCCAAATTTATCATATTCAAATGTTCTGGTTTCAACAAAAAAATCACAAGGCATACAAAGAAACAGAAAAGATGATTCACTCAAAAGAACATAATAAAGTGACAGAAACCATCTCTATGGAAGCCCAGATAATGGACTTCCTGGATAAAGACTTTAAAACCACAGTTAATTATGCTCAGAGAGCTAAAGGAAAACCTGGACCCAAAACAAAAGGAAATCTGGAAAATGATGCAAGAACAAAACAAGAACATTAATAAAGAAATAAAAATTTTAAAAAGAAACCAAACAACACATAACACTAAGCACTTGTCAAAACCTACACGACTTTGCAAAGTAAAGAGTGAACCAAAAAGGGAGCTATGGATTTTAGTTAATAATAATGTATCAATATTGGTTCCTCAACTTTAACAAATGTGCGACAGGACTGCTACATGCTAATAGGACAAAGAATGTGTAAGACGGAAGTGGTTAGGTTACTGGGAACTGTCTGTACTTCCTTTTCTGCAAACCTAAAATTGTTACCAAAAAAAAAAGTCTTTTAAAGATAAAAGAAACCAAACAGAAATAATGGAAGTGAAAAATACAATACCTACAATGGAAAATTCACTGGAGGAGCTCAGTAGTAAATTTCAGCTGGTAGAAAAGAAGGATCAGTGAACTTGAACATAAGGACAACTGAAATTATCAAGTATGAAGAGTTAAAAAAAAAAAAAAATGAATGACAGAAGTTGAACAAAGCCTAAGGGATTTGTGGGGCATTGTGAAGGGTATTAATATATGCATATTGGTCACAGAATCACAGCAGGAGAAGAGGGAATGGGGCCAAAAGAATATTTGAAGAAAGAAATAATGGCAGGGAGCTCTGGTAGCATAGTGGCTAAGACACTTGCCTGCTAACCAGACGGCTGGCGGTTCAAACCCACCAGCCACTCCTCGGAAGGAAGGTTGGGCAATCCTACTTCCGTAGTGATACTGCCTCGGAAACCCAAGGAGGGGTCACTATGAGTCGGGGCCGACTCGACGGCACATAACAACAATGGCAGAAAACTCCCCAAATTTAATGAAAGACATGAATCTACACATTCAAGAAACTCAATAATTTCAAGTGGGATAAACTAAGAGAGACACCCACTGAGAGACATTATAATCAAACTTTTGAAAACTGAAGGTAAAGAAAGAATCTTGAAAGCAGCAAGGGATCTTCAGTAGGATTCTGATTTGTCTTCAGAAACCATGGAGGTCGGTAGGCAGTAGGATGACATATTTAAAATATTGAAAGAAAGCAAATTTCAACCAACAATTCTAAATGTGGCAAAACAGTCCTTCAAATGAGGGTAAAATTAAGACATTCACAGATAACCTGTTTCTGGTTTCTGTTTTGACATTTTTGTGGGGTGATGGGAGTGTGGAGCTGCTCATACCACCATCTTGTCCCAGATTCCATAAGCTTAGTTATTAATGACTACCTAA